GTGTCCGCCAAATTTGGCAACACGGCGGTTCAGCGATGTGCTGGGGCAGGAGCACATGGCTATGGACTGAGGAGTCCACGGGGGACGAGAGTGTGTGCCCCTCACAGCCCTGACCGCCAGCTCCTCTGCTGGTCGCCAGACACTCCCAGAGCAGGGCCCGGGCCCGGGGCCATTGAGGTGCCATCGATGAGCAGGGCGAGCAGGGCCAGCAGGGCGAGCGCAACGCAGCGAAGCTAGAGAAACCACCACGAGGGGGCGCCCGCCTGCCCATCTCACCCCCAGGGAAGACCAGCCCATCCCATGAGGCTAAGAGGAAAGTTTACGCAGAGAAATGGCCCAGTTCCTGACACTTAAGGAGGTTTATCCGGATTGTCCTCTCCTATCTCATTGGTTTGGTAAAGGGTTGCGCGGGTGAAGGATCTGGCCCTCTTGCTGCAAATTCAGCATTTATCGAGAGGCCACAATATGTCAGTAACTGTGCCCTGCGCGTTTACCTGAATCATCCCATTTAATCGTGCAACACAAGTGAGACAGACACACCCATTTTACATACAGACAAACAGAGTTTGGCTTGTCCAAGGTCACATAGCTACGAAAGTGGTGGAGCTGGGATCTGTACCTCCAGATGCTTCTATTCCAATTCCCGTGCTCTCTCCACTACAACATGGTATAGTTACAAGGAATTATTCAAAGAAGTTTCCCTGCGCTCCCCTTGTGTGAAAAGTGAAGAACTTCTGGGACTCAGGGCTTGGACAGAAAAGACATCCTGTTATTGCCTCCTGTCCGGCTGGCAGGAGATGAGCTGTGGAGAACCAGAGACCAGCTCTGCCCTCCCTTCTCAGGGACTCATGTGATTAAGCCTCCTGCCTGGACAGTCGGGCCGCTGATCTCCGGAGCACGTCGTCCGCGTTCTCTGGGTAGGCCCACTCTACGGCCAGTATGGAGCTTGCTGCCTGGGCCAGGGGGCAGATCTCCAGGAACAGGAAGCCGGGGCCAATGTGGAGGAGGCAGGGAATGAGTGGCATGTGCTCTCAGAGCCACCCACCCTCATGAATGAGACATGGAGGTGTCCTGGCATGACAACTTGGCATGGCTTGAAAGAGCCTTCCAGAAACCATCCACTTGGGACGTGGGTGGGGGCGGTGCCAGGGGACCTCCTCCCACTCCTGATGTGCTTGTCCCAGATTCCAGAAGACACCTGTTCTAAGCCTCTGGTCACATGACGCTCCGGGGGCTGTGTCCAGCCTTCTCTGGGGAGTGGTCCCACCCTGCCCCTCCGGCATCAGAGGCGCAGTGGAGAATAGAGGGGCCTCCCACCCAGGTCACAGAGCCTCTGAGGTCAGTGAGGGGTGGAAAAGCAGCTTTAGAAATGAAGCCGCCTGGATTCAAGGTCCAGCTTCACCACTTCGTCGTTGTGTGGTTTGGGGGAAGTTTTATTTCATTTCCCTCGGCCTTCGTTTCTTCATCCATAAAATAGCCATCACAGCAGTGTCTCTGTCGTACTTCAGGAGATGACACGCGTCAGGTGCTTAGCACAGCATCCGGACATAGCAGCCACTCAGCAGATCCTGGCTGCTGTCATTATACCCCTCGCTGTCGTTACGGGGAGCTCACTGCCTGCGTCTCAGTGTCTTCCCAACTGCATCGGGACATCGGCTGAACAATTATGGGAAATAATAGCCTTGGGAATCTAACCAAACTCCAGAGGCGCTGGATGGGCAGCGAGGCTGTAACTGGCTCTTTCTCTGAAGAGCCATCATCTGCCCCAGCCCAATACACTCATTTGGCCCTCCCTTCCCTCCCCAGGGAAATTCAGCAGTAAACAGAGTTGACAGAGCCAGGAAATCGGTGCCTGGAGATGCCTGGGACCCAGGGACCATAGGGCACCATCACCAGCAATACCTCCCCCAACAACACACACACACACACGTGCCCCTGGAGATTCGGAACCAATTTGAGAAGTCCCATCACCCCTTCCATGATTCTTGTAGTCTCTATAGACGTCCTGAGCCTAAGGAAAGTGCTCTTTTCTTCCTGTCCAGACACTGCTTTTTCTCTCCCTTACCTCTCTCCTGCAAATCAGTCTATGCCCCAGGAAGCCTGAGAGAGGAGGGAAAGGGTCTGGTCTCTAAGGAGAAAGGAACAGAAGTGGCCTAAGCCCTAACTCTCTTCCCCAAGGCCTACCTTCCGGGATAACCAGCTTCCTCTGATGACCAGAGATAGCTGGCTGTCCTCCCAAATGAGTGCTGCTCTGACATGGGGACTGTCCCACTTGGCGGAGGTGGTGCCACATGGCATGTCGACATCCGTAAAACGTGAATGAAAAGGATGCGTGTCCCTTCCGGGCCAGAGCATTGAAGAAGTGGGTGTGCTCTCTCCATGCTTTCGGTCTGCTTTCCACTGGCCAGAAGCAGGTGATAAAGTCACTGGGCGGAAAGAATCTGAATCCCTGAAAATCAGGTGGAAGGAAGCCTCCCACGGATCAGACATCCTCGCTGGCTGGTGAGGTGGGTGAGAAATAGGCTTTGATTGGGTTAAGCCACTGAGACTGGAAAACTGTGGGATCCATTACAGTAGTTGTGTTACACCTACAGGTGACCCAGTAAGCCTGGCATCTGCCTGCTCCTCATACCTTCTTGCTGAGAAGGAGCGAAACAGAATTGAAGGAAGGACTCCCCCTAGCATTGATATGAGGCCAAAGCAAACAAACCTGAGGTGTCCAGAGACCAGGCCCCTGGGTGCCAGCCTGGAGAGTTCTGTGCTGATGGCTAGAGGCTTGAGTGCGTGTGGCCCAGGCGCTGGGGGTGCTGGGCATTCATCAGTGGGATCATAATGGTTGAAGTCAATATATTAAATGCAGGAAAGCTAAGTGCAGAGCAAGCAGGAAGGCACCTTTCGGAAGAAGCCAATGCGACCACCACCCAATTCTCTTGGAGAAGTTGAGTAAGCATTGAGGCTTCCTTGTAAATATGCCTCTCATGGAGCTGAGACGTCAGAGGTAGAGAAAGGGGAAGGAGCAAAAAGGACAGACACGAGAGTGTTCTTCCCCCATTCCCATCTGCTTTGTCTGCTCATGTACCCTTTAAGATTCATTTCAAACCTCACTTCCTCTGTGAAGCCTTCCTTGACCTCTCTAGGTACACCTGGTGGCTTCTTTATCCATGCCTCAAGCATGGTGCCCAAACTCAATCACAGCTTCCATCACATCGGATCACACCATGAGTACCTGAGGACACCATAATGGTCTTTGTAGCCCCTGGGCCTGGGAGTAGTACCCGGTACAGACTAGGCACTGATATGGGTGGTGAAGGGATGAGTAAATTAATGTGTGGTTAAGAGAGCAGAACCCAAAGCAGAGAAACCAAAATTCAGAACCGAAACTGGGGATGTCTGGGCACCTGGGTAGACAATCTCAGTTTTCTACGTAGGGTACCAGTAAAACATCCAATGACAAAATTTTCAACCTTTATTGCTGATGACCATTTCCAGAGGCTGCTGGGGAAGTCACTGTTGCCCTCCCCCTACCCCCTGGCCTTCAAAACATGTAGCCAACCCCTCAGACTCTGCCATGAAGCTAGCCAACTCCAGCCTGTCTTCCAGGGCAGTCTTTCCCCCAAGTGACTGCCAACCTTGGCTGGGCTGGGCTGGGCTGGGCTGGGTTGATCTGCTTGGGCCCTGCCTCTGGAAGTCATGGCACCAGCAGACAGGCCCAAGCAAGGTGAGGAGGCTGGGGCTGGAGGATTAGCGGGATCCGAGGCTGGGAAGGTCCAGGCCTCCAGGTGAAGTGGAGGCAGGCACACTGATGGCCTCAGGAGCGGGATCCTTCAGAGGGCTGTTTGGAGGGCCTGGGGGGCAGTGTCAGCTTTCTCTCCATGGCATTTTCATGTCGGTGTTATGTTTCTAACACAACTGAGAAACTGAAAGCTGGGAAAGCTGAGGAAAACCCTGAAGTCTCCAGACAGCAGTGAGAATGAGGGATGGTGGTCCGCCTGGACTTTCCCAGCATCTGGGGGGCCCAAGAAGCAGCAGCATCCATTTCTTAGTGCCCTGGCTGTACCCTTGAATAAGCAACAGCTGTGGCTCTTTGTCCTTTACTTGTCCTTTAGTCCAAATGAGGACTCATTCCCTGAGTGTTGCAAAGGAGTCCCCTGGTCCCTGAGGCTGGGAGCTTCCACAGGACCTTCTAGTGGCACAGCTCCCAGGGGCTCCTTGGTTCTCAGGGTGACTGATGTTAGCTCTCCTGGCTCCAGGAACTTTGGAAGAATCTTTAAAAAGACATCTACTTCTGTTTCTTAAATATAAAAATAAAATAAAATCCACACCCAGCAGCCTGTGACCAAACAAGAACAGCAAGCCCTGTTCATTCACACTGTCAGCAGGAGCAGCCCCATCTGCGCACTCACAGCCCCGCAGCCTGCGAGAGCAGGGCGTTTGCAATGACAGCGGGAGCCTCCTCCTGCGGGGGACAGTCCGGGCACCCCAACGAGGCCTGTCCCTGTCCCTAGACAGCATTGGTGTCACCAGGGCTGCTGGGTGGATGCCCATTCTGGGCCATTCTTCCAGTCAAGGTCAGAGGAACGACAATTCCTGACATGACCTTCCAGGCCCTTCCTTGGCTCTGTCCCCTCCATCGGTGAGGACGCACCTGCAGATGTCTCCATGTGCCAAACTCTTGTCTTCAGTTATGTCCAGCCTGGGGTTTGAAAAGAGCTGACAGCTCTCCTGGTTTCTGAAGACTTTGGGAGAGCAATCGCACACACACACACACGCACACACACACACACGCACACACACATGCACACGCACACACGCACACACATGCACGTGCACTCACACCCACATGCACCCACATTGCATATTCATGAGGCAGCAGACGATGGAGCTGACGGTACTGAGGGTGTCTGGGCGCCTTTAGACACAGGATGTTGCACGTGGCCCGGGGCTCTGGCCGAGACTGCTGCGAGGCAGAGGACAGCCGTCAGGATCTCCGAGGACAGCTGTCAGGACCTCCGGAGGCGCACCTCATTCTGAGGGGAACAAGAGAACAGGTGCGGGTGAGCTGGGTGGGCCCAGAAACCAGACACAAAGGCGGGGCCACAGAGCCTAAAACTCAGGCCCTGCCCCCCGGCACTGGCCCTCGGAGAAGAGGGGCAGTGGAGGGAAAGCCATGGAGCGCCTCCGAGAGGCCCCACCGAGCTCCCACTGTCTGCCCTTGGCCAGCGGAGCGTCCCTGCCGTGAAGGGCCAGAGGAGCAAGCTCGACAGCAGGCTGGGGGGTAAGGGGCAGCGACGCGGGGGCGGCTCCGTTTCCTGACACCCGCTTCCCCAGGGCCCGGCTTCCCGCCAGGGCGCGGAGGCCGCTGTGGGGCCTGTGAACGCACAGTCACTGGGAGAGGAGTGGCACCGGGCCGCACCCTGCAGCCCGCCCCTGCCCACCCTCCGAGCTCTGCTGTGCCAGGGGAAGAGGGGGCAAGGACCGCAGGAAGAGGGGCTGCGGGCACGTGACTCCTGTCGGCCCTGGTCCTCTGCACTTGGCGAACACCCCAGCAGGAGGCTGGGAGGGCCCCCTGCCGAGGGCCTGGGGAAAGCCGGGCCCCCTTCCCCTGGGAGCCCCTCCAGCTCGGTCAGCACCCCGCGGCTCTCACCTCCATCTTGCTGTATATCCAGGGCAGGAGTTCAGTCACTTTGGTGTACACACCAGGCTTGTTTCTCTGGCCACAGCCTGTCCCCCAGCTGGTGACTCCGGCCAGGTACCAGCGGTTGTTCTGCTCACAGACCAGGGGTCCCCCACTGTCTCCCTGCAGGGAGAGGCCCACATCAGCAGGCGTGGAAGGGGTCCTTGAGCAGGACAGCTGGGCACGGGGTTTCCGCTCTGACCCCACACCTCGGCCTTCCCCATGCCCCTGGGTCCCAGAACCTGAGCCCCACCCACGAGCAGCCTCACCTGGCAGGAGTCTCTGCCTCCCCGGAGGTCCCCGGCACACATCATCCTTGGGGTGAGGTAACTGTCATAGACCAAGTAGTCGTTGCACTTCCTAAAGTCTATGAGGCCGACCTGCACCTCCCGGAGGAAGGGGGACGTCTTCTCTTCAGTGAGGTGTGGGGAGAGAGGATGGGAAAAGATTCAGGCTCTGGTCAGCTCCATGGCCTTTCGCTGCCCCTCCCAGGACCCAGTCTGGGCCTCCTGGGAGTGGAAGGCACCGTTCCTGGGGGTGGCCACACACCCTCACACCACTCACAACTCACTACAAACAGAGACAGATGGACACGGACAAACTCACAGCCTGCCGGCCGCCTTGCATGCTGCACGGAGCTCTGTGGTATTCAGAGCACCCTCCAATAAATAACTTCGTTTGTTTTCAGTAACTATGAGCTCTAAAGAGGCCTAGTTAACCCATGTGCAGATGGAGAAGTCCAGGCACACAGCTACTCAGCTAGGGAGCCAAGGTCAGAAAAAGCCTCTGCCGGGCCAGTCAGCACTTGTCGCACTGAGCAGGGGAGCCTGGCCTGAGTCTCACAGGGGCCAGAAGGCTCGGGCACTCTCCTGCTGCATAGAAACAGCCCTACGGAGCAGACAACAGATAAGGTCACTTGGGGCCATGGTAACTGAGGTGAAGCCAGGCAGGTGCCCATGCAAACCACAACTCCCAACACCCCTCCCAGCCCATAGGAGCAGCTGCGGCTCCCTCACCAACCATCACTGTAGACCCAGGGCAGGCTTAGCTTCTAGATGAGATTATAGAGACCCAATCATAGACTCATCCTGCTCCCTACAAGCATCCAATCTAGAGAAATGCTCCTCTCCTTTGAAGCCCCAAGCTCTCACATCCTGTGCTGAGTCCTTCCTGGCACCTCTGCCGAGATGTGGCTGGCTCTCCGTGGTATGTGTTCCCTTTAGTGCAGAAGCAATAAGCCCAACTGTTCAACTACAGAGGTTTCCTGGGGTCTTGGCTGGAGGCATTGCCACAGTAACTGCTTTGACATACACGCAGGTATATAAAACACACGGTCACGCCCAGGCCCAGCCCTCATTAGATAGGCCCTTACCCATCTACGCCAACACAACACCCCCACTTGCCCACACAGACACACGTGCATACGGGCACACGCACGCTCGCACCCGCACACGGCCTAGCATCTCTGCCTCTCACCATCTGTCTCCTTGGTCTTGCCGAAGCCTGTGATCCAGCAGGTCTCGTTGAGGCTGAAGGTCTGTCCATGCATGGGGAGGCAGGCGGGGTGGATGTGAGCTGCAGCAAGACTCAAGACATCAGTGAAGGCTCGAGGCTGGAGGTCTCGGTGTGGGGTGGAGAGATGGGAGTACTAACGTCCTAGGAGCCCCTCCCTGCCTCCAGAGTGCTTCTGCATCTTCCAGGGCCTGGGGCTGACCAATCACTTTATCAAGACCCTCCAGCCTTCAGGGCTGATTTCCCTGGGTACTACGTGGACAGAAGCTCCCCTGTACCAAATAGCCACCGAGAGTGGCTCTCCTGACAGAGCCTCGGCCCTGCCCACCCGTTGGAGCAAGGAGCAGCCGCAGGCTAAGTCCCAGGCGTTCTGGCCATGGTGTCTCAGTGGAGTGCCCAGCCCGGCCTGGGAGGACACCTGCTGGTGACCAGGAAGAGTACATCCTGGTAAGAACCTCTCCCAGTAGGGAGAGAACATCCTCCGAGGCATGGACCACAGAATCCCCGCTCACTTGCCCCCAGGCTCAGAAACAGTGAGGCGGCCCTGGCACTGGTGCTGGTGCCTATGACTCTGCAAGTGCCCCTGAGGGCTGCTGCTCCTAGATGGGGCCGGGCATGGGCCACCAACCTCCAACTGGCAAGAACATGTGAGCTGATGGCTAGAATGCTGGCAATGTTTCAATTGTTTGTTCTGCTCGGTGCAGCTTCCTGTACCTGGGATAAAAGTGCTCAACAAACTGGAGAGACAGGAGGAGGGAGAACGTTACATTCTCCCATCAACGGGGCTTTGCGCATTGGCGTCTAACACGCCTGTCTGCCAGAGTAAACAAGCAAAAAATAAATAAAGGGTGTATCGATTATTAACAAAAAATGCAAAACATCACTTCTTAAAATATTCTATCCATGTTTTTGCAACACGGAGCCTTAAAAAGCTGTAACTGTTATATACTCCACTATGTTCATGCGGAAATTTAACTTCCCAGTGAGTTTTCACAAGTTTTCTCAGGTGGCTCTATGACTTCCAGGTGCTCAGCCTGCAGGGTGAATGTAAGAAAATCTGCCCTGGCCTGGCCAGGCGTGGCTCAGCGGTTGAGCATTGACCTAGGATCCAGGAGATCAGGGTTCGATTCCCGGTCAGGGCACATGCCCAGGTTGTGGGCTCAATCAATGACTCTCATCATTGATGTTTCTATCTCTCTCTCTCCCTCTCCTTTCCTCTCTCTGACATCAATAAAGATATATTAAAAAAGAAAAGAAAAGAAAAGAAAAGAAAAGAAAAGAAAAGAAAAGAAAAGAAAAGAAAAGAAAAGAAAAGAAAAGAAAAGAAAAGAAAAGAAAAGAAAAGAAAAGAAAAGAAAAGAAAAGAAAAGAAAAGAAAAGAAAAGAAAAGAAAAGAAAAGAAAAGAAAAGAAAAGAAAAGAAAAGAAAAGAAAAGAAAAGAAAAGAAAAGAAAAGAAAAGAAAAGAAAAGAAAAGAAAAGAAAAGAAAAGAAAAGAAAAGAAAAGAAAAGAAAAGAAAAGAAAAGAAAAGAAAAGAAAAGAAAAGAAAAGAAAAGAAAAGAAAAGAAAAGAAAAGAAAAGAAAAGAAAAGAAAAGAAAAGAAAAGAAAAGAAAAGAAAAGAAAAGAAAAGAAAAGAAAAGAAAAGAAAAGAAAAGAAAATCTGCCCTGGTTCCCAAACCAGGAGGCAGGCCTCATGGCCCACCCCCGGGACCACGTGCATCGGGGCTGCGGCTCCTGCCCGGCAGGGCAGAGTGAGGGGGTGGCCTCTCAAGGCTGGGAAGGCCCGGCCCGGCCCTGCAGGCCAGCTGCCTCTTTCGTGGGTGTGTGAGGGGCAGGCAGGGTGGGCGGGGGCTCCACAGACAAGGCTGGAGGATGAGGCCTTGCCCACTGGAAGGCGGGGTTCAGGCGGGTGCAGCTGGGGGACAGCCCTGGCCAGCTCAGCCCTGCCCGGGCTTCCTCCTGCCCCACTCAGAGCTCGGCACTGACTCACCACCGCCCCCAGAGTTAAGGTGGCAGGAAAGACCAGCCGGCAGGCCCTAGCGCAGGAAAGGCCGGACTAACCAGAGGGCCTTCCCGGGCTCCCAAACCCCGGCCGCTGTAGCTGCCCTCCCTTGGGAAAGCCTCCCTGTCCTGCCAGGACTGCCTGCCTGCTCCTGCCTGACCCACAGTCCCCTCAGTGCCCCGTCTCTGGCCTCCCCTGGCTGGCTGTGTGGATGTCACCTATATGTCCTATTTGCAATTGCAACTACAGAGCTCACTAAAAAGTGGACACTCAGAATTTGAAAGTGAACAAATGAGTGAATGAGTTGATGAGCGGAGCTCTTTGGCTTCCTCCTGAGAGCCTCAGGGGCGTTTCCTCCGTGTAGCCTCATGTGGCCCTTGGCCCCGACCTCGCTGCAACTGGCTGTCTGCATGTGGCCGCTTGTTCTCAGCTGCCGAGCTAGCAACTCGCCAGCCTCGAGCCGGGTGGGAAGAGCAAGAAAGAGCGAGCTCGGGAGCGAGACCCACCGGGATCCAGGCCTGGAGCTGTCACGTCCTGCTCCGTGGCCTCTGGTAATTCCCTCTCTCTAAAGCACATCTCCTCATATGTACACTGACGCTGAGAACAGTGCCTGCTCCACGGACTGGTGAGCGAGCAGCTGAAATCATAGATGTGATATGCCTGCCGAAGTGTCTGGCCCCTGCTGAGTGCTCAACAAATACCAGTGAAAAAATTTCACCTATTTATATTGATTATATTGTATCCAAGTCCTGGCTCTGTCGCCAACTCGCAATGTAAGTTATGTCATTTGGGGCAAAGTTATTTCCAACCTTTGGGCCTCAGTTTCCCTAACTGTAAAATAAAGATGTTTTATTAAGTGATCTCTGAGCCTGACTCCCGCCCCACCGAAGCTCTGGGTCCCAGGGCAAGGCTGGGCCCCAAAGGCTGCCGAGATGGGCCAGAACGGGGTGTGCAGGCGATGCACTCACCTGACAGGGTCAGGGGCTTGGAGAGGCGCATCAGCGCGATGTCGTAGTCGTCCTGCTCGTCGGTATAGTTGCCATTGATGATGATCTGGGAGATGGAGGCTGCCTCGGGCAGCTGGTGCAGGTTGTTGGTGCCCGCGTACACCTTCCAGCCCTCCAGGATCTTTTCCCGGGTCCTGCGAGAGCCACAGGAGAGCATGATCCCATTACCTGCCTGGCGAGCCCACCGGCAGCAGGTGCTACACACAGGGAGCTGCGCTCGGAGCACCAGCATGGCGGCCGGAGGACGGCCGAAATGACCTCCGGGGGGAGCCCTCTGTCTTAACTCAGGGGTCCAAAACTGTCCCCTAACCTCCAAAAAGCCATGTGAACTGGCTGCTCTGCACCTTCCAATGGAAAGGGTCGGGGCTGAGTAGGATCTCTGAGCAGTCACCCACTGTCCCCTCTGCATGCCACCAAAGATCAAATAAGGTGGGCAGCACACATCTCAGCATTACTATCCTCAGCAGAGATGGC